AAAGTGGTCGATGTAAAACATAAAAGAAGCAAAATGGAATGGAATGCAGGTAAAATTGTGAACCGACCGACTTAGGAATGCAGGCGAATAAATAGATTCCATATGCAAGCATATTTGGGGTTAACAAGTCAATCCCACAGTTGAAAGCAGTCGAAGTCGATCTCACAACCAAGTACTCTTGTTAAAAATGGAAGTTAAAATCATGTGAAAATAAATATTGTTTGTTCGCATCCGTTTACTAGTGTAATTATTCGAGATAATCTTGAACCAAAGTTCACAAAACATTAAATGACCAACCGAAAAAACAGAGCAATTGTTTCATATGTCTGCTAGATATTATCTGGCATATTGTTCGATCTAACTAAAGGTATCCCCTTCAGCATTGGGGAGCCACATTAGTCTTGTAAAAAATAAACCAAATATTTGTTGCACCTGTTAACTCTTGTTTTGTATATGAAAGCGAAAACCTTGTGCAATGCCGATCCCTTGAGATTTTATAACTTTTCTCAATAAAAACGTTAGCCTTGAGATTTAAAATTTTTTCTCAGTAAAAAGATTTTCTAACCAAGAGAATGAATTTTCAGAGATGAAAATGTGATGAAAATAGATGAGAATATATGAGTGGCAATGATTGGATATGACTGGTGATTGAAAAGGGCAGGCATAAATGAATAGTATCATCCATGAGATGATAATGACATGAGAGTTGATCCTATGTCACTAATTCATTTTTTCCTCTATCCTTTGAAATGTGATTGGTGATAGAGAAAATGCAACTCACTAATTCATTTTCAAAAAACATCAACAAACAATCACGTGACTCCGAACACCGAACCAAAGAAAGGAGCAGAAATAATATATATATATATATATAGAGAGAGATAGAGAGAGAGAGAGATTTTCCGAACACCCAACCAAAGAAAGGGGAAGAAAGAGAGAGAGAGAGAGAGAGAGAGAGAGAGAGAGAGAGACAGACAGACAGACAGACAGAGAGAGAGAGAGAGAGAGATTTTCAAAAATAGTTTCAAAGTTAAGTTCGATTATTGTACTTTTAAGAAAAAATACAATCAAGACAAAACATTGGCACATGATTATGTAACATAGACCCATTGGGCAGGAAGTGCAAGGATTCCGATATTAAAGGTTATAAAGCAACACATACAGTCATGATATGCATCACGTTAGAGAGAAGAGAACATTACACATCAGAAAAGGTTTTCGAATTTTGAAATTTCTATTCGTAGCAGTAAATGAAACTGATCACACATTTTTAAGCAACATAATGAGCAAAAGAAAACTTGCCTGAATACATTTGACTTTCAGGAAGATGTCTGACTGTTGTAGCCTGTATGCTTTCAGGCAGCAGACAATTACAGAAAGCACCTAAATTGACAGATCAGATGATAATGTTATTGTTAGACACGAATAAATCAGTTGCAGTGCATAGTATTATTAGACACTGTATTTGCACTGAGAACATGTGTTAAGGGAAAAAAAAAATTAATCTTCCCTGGCTTTACATGTTCCATGCAAACAGGGGTCAGGTTGAGGTTCAACCAAGAATGAGAGATCTGAGCTATACATGGTTAACAAGTACAGACAATCTCCGATACTAAAATATTATCAATAAATACTAGCAGCTATATCAACAACAACAACATACCCAGTATATTCCCAACAGGTTGGGGTCTGGGGGGTCAGTTGTACGCAGACCTTACCCTTGTAATTATACAAGGAGGCTGTTTCCGTAGAGACCCAAGGTGCATTGCGCCGTTCGATATATTTTTTTTTCTAGAAACTTCACTAATAGAAGAAGCACTAGAATTTAATTGAGCCATTTTGATCTCGTCCATTATTAGCACTATGCCAGAAGAATTGTCAACAATGACTCTTCCAGCTCCATTTGCAATGGACAAATACTAGCAGCTATATCATAGGTACATATTTTGCCATGTATAGGTATCATATCGAGCACTGTGTTTCCAATTATTTTTGCTAAAAATGCAATAACATATTATCTCCTCACCTACTCGAGCCAATCGATTAACCCAACCAGGTATAGATTTGCCAGTTAAACGCTGACAAACTTCATCAGTAAAATGATTGCAATTTTTAGAAATCAAATGGTATGTATCTCCATGAAATTTATTGGATAGATGCTCCATGAATGACCGAAATTCTGAACGAGACATGTCAGTACTGCCCAAAAGAATTGAGCGCCTGAAGATAAAACCAGGGCAACTTCTTGGTTCAACCTCAAACACTCCACTGGTTGAGAACTCATGAGCTCCGAAGCCATACTCCATGCCATGAACTAATTCAGAAAATTTGGAAACAGATAAAGACAGGTAAACTTTAAATTAAAGGATTAGAGAGGACCTAAATTATCACATCATCACACACACACACACACACACACACACACACACACAGAGAGAGAGAGAGAATAACGATTCAAGATATCGTATACAGAAAGACTTCTAATCAAATGCCATCTATAGGTTTGTAAAATTGGTGGTTTGCTTACCACTGGACTAATCACCAGAAAAAAGATCTGCGACTGATTATCAAATATGATTATACACTTTCATTGGGCTTGCATTTTCCTAATGCTTATGTGTACTACAAAATATAATCTCATTTAAAGATAGAAAAATCTTAGGAGAAATATTTGCACCACACACACACACACACTGAGAGAGAGAGAGAGAACATAAACCATTTAATTAAAAATTAAAAGATTATAATACCTTCTATTCCAGAATGATAGATTCCGAGCCCTAACCAATAAAGATAGTGGTTAATAGGAGTAAGATCATATACATTTAGGTAAAGTCTTGCGTGACTTTTTTCTGCATTGTTCAGTTCCTCGGGTGAACTATCTAAGCTGGATGAAATTGGGAACAATCTCATCGTATCTAGCACCAAGCGATGGTCCAACAGCCAGCGCACCAAAAAAAGTATATTTACACGTATCTCCTACAATTCCAGCTCAACCTCTAGTATTTAGATATCCTGAAATTCGTAATACATGGGCAAATTAATAAAAAAAACTAACAACTACTTCCCTTATGGTCCGAAAGATAACAAAAATAACATCCAAACAAAGATGATTAGATCAATTTCTCCATATTTTACGTAGACTTTTACAAAGTAACAGACTCAACTCAAATGAACAGACATAAAGATGGATAAAACCATATGTTCGACAATGGACTGTATCAGAGAGCAATAACTTTCTCAATAATATCCAACTAACCTTGCAAGGAAAGGCCACGAAACAAATTAATCCGGAGGGGAAATGCACACTTTTAATTGACCTGCATTGTGGCGGTGAACTACTCCGAAGCTTTTACAATCCCCTAATGCCCAATCCTTCAATCATGAACAAGTCCACTAAAAAGGAATTGAAAGGCATGCGACAATAAATAAGTCTCTAGAATTTAACAGCTATGTAGAACGCAAGTATGAACCAGTGAATCATCAGGATTGCAAAATTGGCCAGGGAAAAAGTCTTAGATATACAAAGGAATTAAGTAAGTTTGTGCCACACAAAAAAATCCCCCAAATAATAAGAGAAAAAAAAAAAAAGCACTGCAAAAAACAAGATAAACATTGACAGGATTTCACTACATATGAGGAGAAGATAATTAACCAAATAACAACAAACCAGACATCAAGTGATCGGACGGAAATACGCACTGTAAGTGTAATAAACAACAAATGTAGCAAGAGGAGACGGAGAACGAAGATCACCGTAGAGAGTACATGCCTCCAGAAAGCATCGGCGGCGGCGGAGGATGGGCGGGGCAGAGGTTAGGGAAAATCCGCAGTCTCCGGCGGGGTCGTGTGTAGTGCGTACAACTTCAGGGCTCGACGGGGATGTTACCACGGCTGTGAAGGCCTCTGGATGTGCCGGAGAGTTACACTCACGCCGGCGATGGGGTGGGGAGTCGATCGACGGGAAGAGTGACGAAGGCCGAAAAGGGGAAATTGATACAGATCGGTGGATATGGTAAATTGGTAATGGCCGGTGTTTTTCTCGTTTTCCTTTTTTTCTTTTTTCTCTTTTTGATTGTAAAATTGGAACCGTTGGATGTTACGTGATCCAACGATGTTGAGCTCTTGATGAGGTTAACGGGTATATTTGAAAGGCTGACCCGGCCCAGATCCAATTCATGGCATGATGGCAATTTTATTTTAATTTTATTTAAATAAAGGTTTAAAAGTCTGACTGCCTGAGCTATTCAAGTAACAAGCTGCTAGGGAGTTCGGCTTTGATTGTTAAGGTTCAAATCCAATTTGTGTATAGCTTATGTAGCTTTTTAGGTGAACTAAGCTCGGGTCTTTAAATCATGAAATTATGATTTTTTATGTAATTTTTTATAGTTCGAGTTCGTTAATCGATTTGACTTACTAACTGTTATCATTTCTAACAGTTTTCTTTGATATTTATCCCAGTTTTCTTCTTGCAAATCAATGTCATAATATTGAAATGTTTGATATCTAGTATCCATTTCTCATCTTATGAATGTAATAATACTTGAACAATGCGTTAATGACAAAAGGAGTGGAACATTTTATTAATCGATCGATTTGAACTTACATGCATTCGCTTACTGTCACACTAACCACAATCATACTAACCACAATCATATAACTCTGTATGCAGAGTTTGTCAAATACAGAAAGAACTTGGAGACCAAATGCTTAAATTTATTGTTACCTTAACTTAAACCATTGTATAAAGAAACTTCACAATAAATCAAATAATTAGAATGATGTTTTGAGGTTTTAGTTATTCAAGTCTATCGATGGAATACTCTGCTCGTTCCGAAAAGAGTTAGTCGGATCAACCTTAGTCTTCATCCGAACCAACTTGCCGAAATTCGCCTTATTGAAGTACTTAAAGCCCCAAACACTAGTCCTTGCATAGCTCGTGTTCGTATTCGTGTTCACTCCCAAATCCAAATCCATGTAGTTTAGGTAAGCGTGCTCCGAATCCTCGGGTTCCGGTCAGGGGCGGAGCCACCCCAAAGGCTGGGTGGACTCCAACCCAGGCTAGTTTTGGAAAAGTTATATACATATATATAAAGCCCATATTTTGTTAATTCAGCCCATTTTAATTATAGTTCAGCCCAATAAAAAGACAACTTTTTCTTTCAAAATTGTTTCGTCCTTTAGCAATTTTTTTTCTTCCTTTTCTTTCTAAAGTAGAGAGAAAGTCAGCTTCATTAAATGGAGTATTGAATAGATTTTCTATTCTATTCCCTCACATTAATCCTTTTATTTTATGTTCTTTTCATAGAAAAACTCTATTGTTCTACTAATCAACTATTATTTCTTACGTATATTTCTTTATATACATATTTATTTTAATTGCCTTAAAGAAATATTACTTATTTATGACTTTTACTTGTTTCACTACTTAATTTATTTACACAATATTTAAATATATCAAAATTTTGTTTAATGAATATTTAAGCATATTTGCTTGGATATAAATTTTTTGGTTTGGTATGGTTAATTTTAAAAAAAGTGGTATGGTTAGTTGTTAGTGAAATTTATTAAAATAATGAAAGTTGATTGGATGTAAAAGTAGAAAAAATATGAAGTGAAGTGATAGTTAGTTAAAATTATCGTGCGTGAATGATTAATGAATTAAAGTTAATGTAATGTGTAAGAATGATTGAATGGTATTATTTAATTATATTGATAATATTGAGAATATATCCAAGCATCCTTTTAGCATTCGGTTTTGGTTCGTATAATCAATTATAATATGGAAAGATGAGAAGAGAGTTAGTAATGAAAAGATGCGCTTTTTTTATTCATTTTAGATTTTATCATTATGCATACCTTATAAGATATTAGACAAATTTTATTAATTAATTTTTTCAAGTACAAATATTATGAAAATTTAATGCATACCAAACCTATAGTGTTAATATTAATAGGATGGTTATTATTTTTATTATATAATTAATGTATAATTCATACACAAACACTTTAATTATTTTTATTATTTTAAAAATTAAATTCAAAATTTTTGAAAAGAAATTATGGGCGACTAGACAGTCCAGTCAATCTGAACGTGACTAATTTCGCAACCGTTTAGCCCACTAGGCGCCGCCTAATCCATCTAGACGTCGTTTAATCTTCTGAGTGCATATAATGGTTGTTAAAAAAAAAAATCGTGGCACCAAAATAGGCGCAAAAGGCGTCTAGGAAAATTTTTATAAAACTTTAAATGTTTGTAATGAACATGAATCAATTATATCTCAATGAAAAATTAATTTCTAATATTTGTTTTATTTTTAATATCGAATTATGTAAGTTATATTTTTTGTGAAAACTCAGCTCAGTGTAGTTTTTTTTTTCTGGCTATGCCCCTGGTTCCGGCTCGTCAACACTTCCAACGGGTCGTCCATCGAGTACCCTCCGAAGAAAAGAACCGTCTGGATCCAGCTCACTTCCCTGCATTCCTCCTTCCAAACCCCGAGTTCTGGAAACTTCCGCCCGAGCAGCAAATCAGCTCGTCTGCACCTCTGAGGTACAATGAGTTAAACGTAGCTCTCACCGTTTTTGGTAGGATTTGAGTGATGGTATATTAAGAGAAATTGGCTGCTATTTATAATGTATGTTTGATGAGACTGTCGTTTATGAATTTGTCTAAGTCAAGAAAAAGCACTCTACACGGTGGTTTGAACTTCGAATTCGTTTGTATTATGGTCAAATTCGGGAGGGAAGTCTTAACTTCGAATTCTTTTGTATTTGCTCATGTATGCATGGACTTTATATTGTATAATATGTTACAGCTATTATCATTTGACTCGCTCAATTCCCAAGTCTTAATTTTTGTATGTGCAGATTTTCTGAACGAGTTTTGGGAAATAGTTGTATGTTTTTAGTGCACACCGAATGAGTACTTAAATTAATTGTTGCTCATTGTTGAAACGTGTTTAGTAAGGGGGTGATTGGATATTAATTCAACTAGTAAAAAATGGATTTTTTTTTAAAAAACTATAGTTAAGTTTGAAAAAATGTGGTATGATTAGTTGTTAATGGATATATTAAAATAATATTTAAAATAAAATAATTAAAGTATTTGATTTAAAGGTAGAAGAAAATGATTGGAAGTGATGGTTAGTTAAAATTATGTGAGTGGATGAATAGTGAATTAAAGCTGATGTGATGTGTAAGAATGATTGGTTGATATTATTTAATTATATTGATAATATTAGAGATAGTATTGTTGAATTAAAGTTGAGTTTAATTTGAGTTTTGGTTTATTTTTTTACTGTACAATCTATAGACAATCGCCTCCTACGAAATGCAATCAAGATTTTTTTTTTTCTTCTTTTATTTAAGAAGGATCAATTGTTTTTAATTTTCTCGGTGACTTAAACCCATGACCCATGGGTCATAGGTGAAGCGTTTTACCACTCGAACTGCGCTTCGTTGTCTGATGCAAACAAAAATGTTAGGTGATGAAGATTCAAGCGACCAAGTAAATGGATATGACAATTCGCATTCATCACTATAACTTAATGTTTGATTATATACTCGGCACCCAAAACATATTGTGTGGACAAATTATAATCTCGACCAAGTCCCAATGTCCCATGTACAATATGAACTTTGTACAAAACGATATCGTTCTGTTATGCTAGTAACTTGTTGGCGCCTTTTATAGTAAAGTAATACTATTTTTCCTTGTCAATAAAAATAGAACAATGTCTTTTTATGCTTAGGACACATGTCCAATATAAAGAAAAATATTACCCGTGTAGTGTTCCTATAAGGGTTTTAGTCGAATCCACACACACTGGTGCGCAAACCCGTTGACTAAACCCACTAAGTAGGATCGAATTTGCCACCAGATAATTTTGATTTTGAGGGCAGTTCTCTCATTGGATTTTTTAACGTTAAATCGATATGATAATTGTGTATTTGTTAAGCTAACAATAAAATTCTAAATTATATGTAAGTGCATGTAATTAGGGGTGTAAACAAGTCGAGCCGAGCTCGTACTCGAGCTTGAAGTCGAGCCCTTAACAAGTCGAGTTCGGCTCGACTCGGCTCGTTAACTTAACGTTATAATTGAGCTCGAATTCACCTCGTTTATCAATATTAACGAGTTGAATTGGAGCCTTAACGAGTCAAAATCGAGTCGAATTATAAAAGAAAAATACATAAAAATCATCTTTTCGAATCTTAATAAATCGAGTCGAACTCGATTCATTAATTGAACAAGCTTTAAATGAGCTTGAATTTAATTAGTCTATCAAATAAATCAAACTTGAGTCTTAACGAGTCGAGTCGAACTCCCAAACAACTCGTTCAACTTAACAGCTTTGTCTGTAACCCAACTGTCAAAAACCGATAGGGATAGAGTCTAAAACTTGCCCCTCCTCGCCCTTTTTTCCCATCGAAAACGGAAAAGCCCTTACGTGTCACCTCAAAAGCCTCCGTGTCATGCAAAATCTGCACCTTCACACTACGCCTCAACACGTGACCCCCCCATGCGCACCTCACGTGACACCACTATTCAATTATAAAAACACCACCGAATAACACACATTATCTCCATCTTCATTCCCCTCTTATCAACTCAAAAAAATAATTATTACTAATAATAATAAACGAAAGATAAAAAGCCCAATATGGCCCAGATCCAACCCCACTACGGCGGCGCCGGCCACCACCAGAAGCCGCAGCTGTCCCACCAGGTCGCAAAGACGACCACCGCCGTCACTCTCGGCGGGTCCCTGATGGTCCTCTCCGGCCTGACCTTGGCGGCCACCATCATCGGCCTCGTCCTCGCCACCCCACTGCTCGTCATATTCAGCCCCGTCCTAGTCCCCGCCGCCGTGACCCTGTTCCTGATCCTCGCCGGATTCGTGACCTCCGGCGGGTTTGGGGCCACGGCCAGCTTCGTGTTTTACTGGATGTACAAATACGCCACGGGGAAGCACCCAATTGGGGCGGACCAGCTGGACCGCGCGCGGGAGAAGTTCGGCCAGGCGGCCCACGAAGTCAGGGAGAAGGCCGAGCAGTATGGAGGGCAGCATGTTGGAGGCGGCGGAGGCGCCGCCAGGGGGACTTGAAATTGAAAACGTTGGTTTGTGAAAAATGAGAATAAATTTGGATTTTGATTGTCTGTAGTTTTGTCTTGTGCGTTTGTGTGCGTGTGTGTGTGTTTAGGGTTTGTGATTTTGGGGAAATTTCTGTTGTTGAATGTCTGTTGTCGTGTATGGCCTGAACTTCGTATTGTATGTGCTTGGTTTGGATTTAATAATACGATGAATGTATCACATTTAAGTGTATTCTCGTTGCATGTAATATGTCTTCTTGTAAGTAAAAAATTACGTCTAGAATCAGACTTTAATTGAATCAAAACTTTATTAAATTGCGAGTAAATTACACACTTACTAAATTGCAACTTTATACTTTGAATTGGGAATTGCCAGATTTCATGTTTATTCAGAAACAGAGGTGGAAACGAGTGCCTTTATTGAGTCCAAATAACGAGCGGGTCCGTCCTCGATCTGCTAAACAAGCTCTCGTTAACTAAATGAGTTGCGAAGTTAGTGAGTCGAGTTAAACGAGCTAAGTTCAGCCGCTTGTTTAGTTAACGAGCTCTCATTAACTAAATGAGTTGAGAAGTTAATGAGCTGAATTAATAGATCCGCTGAACGAGCTAAGTTCATCCGCTTGTTTCGTTAACGAGCTCTTGTTAACTCTCGTTAACTAAATGATCAGCTGGTTAGTTAACCAGCAACTTGTTAACTCTCGTTAACTAAATGATCAGCTGGTTAGTTAACCTGCTGGTTAAACGAACTAATTCGCTCGTTCAGTTAACAAGTTTCGATTCACTAATTCGCTCGTTTAGTTAACAAGCTTTCGATTCACTAAGAGTTGATCGACTAACGAAACAAGCTTTGAATGATCGTCAATATTTAGTTAATCAACTAATGAAATAAGCTCTGAATGTTCGTCAATATTAAAATATTTAGTTAATTAATGAAACAACTTCTGAATGTTCGTCAATATTAACAAATTCAGAATTGTCAATGTGAGCATGTCTATATAAGCCATGCTCATTAACTGATTGTCAATATTAACGAGAGTTGATTGTCAATCAATTTTAACGAGTTCAACTCAATTGTCGATATAAGCAGAATTCAATTCAATTGTCGATATAAGTGTTGGGCTCAGATGCGCAAATACGGAAGGTGTAAATTAAAACACCAACTTGAAATGGTGAATAATAATAATAATCTCAGCAACTCAAGAATAAAATCTCTTGCAATCAAATAGGAATAATTCTTTTCTGATGTGGAAGATCAGATTAAACTGCAACCACAGAGCATACTAAGAATATCCCAAATAAATAAAATATGCAAGAAATAATACACCAAGATTTAACGTGGAAAAACCTCCAATTAGAGGAAAAAACCACGGGACAACCTCCGAACAATTCCACTATATTTTCAAGATAATTACAATATCTTTTCACACTCCCTTACACTAGAAATGTAAAATATAGTGACTCAGTGAAACCCCACTCCTATTCAATTATTACAAACAAGGAGTAATAGAGATGATACCCGACCCGGTGTATTTTTCCCACACTCACAGGATTTACTCAAACACTCTATTTTTCTCTCACTGAAAAATACACACTAGAATACTAATCTTTCTTCTTACTGTTTTTCTTTCTCTCGTTGGTGCATTTTTCAGCATTGCAAATGCTGCTATTTATAGCAGAAAGATTGTACAATCTGACAAAAAATTGCAGCTCACAATTATCAGCAATGACAAACTCATTTCATTAAAAAATTCCTAATCCATTTAGTAGTTGTAAGATTCTTTCTTTCACATGGCTGGACCTACAATTCTCCCCCTCCAGCCAAAGGGAAATATTCTGCATATCTTCACATGCATTCCATGCCGATCAACTCGGCAGTAAGCTGAAGCTTTCCTCCTGTTACAACTTTCGTCATCATGTCAGCAGGATTTTCGTCAGTGTGAATCTTTTCGAGTTTGAACTGTTGTTCTTCCACTGCTTGACGTAGCCAATGATATCTGACATCAATGTGCTTCGTGCGAGAGTGGTACATTGCATTCTTACTTAAATCTAATGCGCTCTGACTATCGCAATGGATATCGTACCTTTCCTGTTTCATTCCCAATTGTTGAAGAAACCTCTTCAACCAAAGCATTTCTTTCCCTGCTTCTGCCAGTGCAATATACTCAGCTTCAGTAGTTGACAAAGCAATAGATTTCTGCAATTTAGATTGCCAAGATACAGCTCCTCCTGAAAATGTAAACACAAACCCTGAAATAGATTTTCTACTATCCAGGTCACCTGCCATATCCGCATCTGTATAACCCTCAAGAATTGGGTTTCCTTTACCAAAGCTCAAGCATTTATTTGCACTACCTTTTAGGTACCTCAAAATCCACTTCACAGCTTCCCAATGATCTTTCCCAGGATTAGAAAGATATCTGCTAACAATTCCAACCGCATAAGCGATATCTGGTCTAGTACAGACCATGGCATACATCAAACTCCCGACTGCCGAGGAGTAGGGAACATTCGCCATAGCTTCTTTTTCTTCTTGACTCGTAGGACAACTTTGTTTGCTGAGTTTGAAGTGATTGGCCAACGGCGTATTGACTGGCTTAGCCGTTTTCATGTTGAATCTCTCCAGAATCCGATTCACATACCGTTCTTGCGATAACCATAACCTTCTCGATTTTCGGTTTCGCATGATCTGCATGCCTAAAATTTGTTTCGCAGGGCCTAGATCCTTCATTTCAAAGGACTTTGCTAAATCCTTCTTCAAATCAACAATCAACTTCATGTCTTGTCCCACAATCAACATATCATCTACATATAACAAAAGGATAATGAATTTATCACCTGAAAATTTCTTAACGAACACACAATGATCTGCGTCAGTCTTCGTATATCCATGGCTCGCCATAAACGAGTCAAATTTCTTGTACCACTGTCTTGGAGCTTGTTTCAGTCCATACAAGCTCTTCTTCAATCTGCAAACCATATGCTCCTTTCCAATCTTTTCAAATCCTTCTGGCTGCTCCATGTAGATTTCTTCATCTAGGTCTCCATGAAGAAATGCAGTCTTCACATCTAGTTGTTCAAGCTCCAGATCCAAGCTAGCTACCAATCCGAGTATTACTCGAATAGAGTTCATCTTTACAACCGGTGAGAAGATTTCATCGAAATCTATCCCTCGCTTTTGTCCAAATCCTTTCACGACTAAGCGAGCCTTGTACTTCAACAGCTTGTCACCATCTTTCTTAAGCTTGAACACCCATTTGTTTTTCAAGGCTTTTCTGCCTTCCGGAAGCTTCACAAGCTCATAAGTTTCATTTTTCACCAGTGAATCCATTTCTTCTTGCATAGCTTTCATCCACTGGGATTTATCCTTATGAGTTTGTACTTCTCCAAAGCTTTCTGGCTCCCCTTCTTCCGTGATGGTAATATACGTGGAACTAGGGTACCTCGTAGATGGTTGGATCGCTCGATTTGATCTCCTGAGCTGAGGCGGAGCTTCGAGGTCTTCTTGCTCGACACCTTCACCATCACCATCTTCTATTGCTGGTTCATCATCAACCCTGAGTTCTCCATCACACTCTCCCCCTACTGTGGCATCTCTAGGAGGTTCTACAGGTGTAAGATCCACCTTACCACCTGGTTCTCTGATTTCTGGTGAAGCAGAATCAGACATAGTTTCTTGCTCATGGAATACTACATCTCTACTTCTGACAATTTTTCGTTTTTCTGGATCCCATAACCTGTAGCCAAATTCCTCATCTCCATAGCCCAGAAATATACAAGGAATGGCTCTATCATCAAGTTTTCGTCTCTGTTCCTTGCTTACGTGAGCAAAAGCTTTGCATCCAAACACCTTCAAATGAGAGTATTTAACATCATGTCCGGACCATACTCTCTCAGGGATATCAAAGCCCAAAGGAACAGATGGAGATCGGTTGATCAGGTAGCACACCGTTAGAACAGCTTCACCCCAGAATGGCTTAGGTAACTTAGCCATTCTTAACATACACCTCACTTTCTCCATAATGGTTCTATTGATTCTTTCAGCCACACCATTATGTTGTGGGGTTCCAGGTACAGTCTTCTCATGTCTGATTCCATGATCAGCACAATAATTCTTGAATTCATGGGAAGTATATTCCCCTCCATTATCTGAGCGAAGACACTTCAAAGGTTTACCAGTTTGTCTCTCCACCATAGCGTGAAACCTTTTGAAGTACTGAAAAACTTCGTCCTTCGTTCTCAAGAAATACACCCACAATTTTCGTGAAGCATCATCAATAAACGTCACGAAATATTTGCTACCACCGAGACTCTCCTCTTCCATGGGTCCACATACATCAGAATACACCATCTCCAACACATTCTCTTTCAGCTTCGAGGTTTTGCTGAAAGACACTCTATGATGCTTCCCAAAGAGACAATGATCACAAGGATTTAGTTTTGAATCTTTGGCAAACGGGATGAGGGACTTTCTTGCCAAAATTTGCAATCCTTTTTCACCAATGTGAGCCAGTCTTTTGTGCCACAAATTTGGCGAAGCATCATCTTCGACTGCATTCAGGCCACCTTTGATCAGCTTCACTTGAGTTCTGTACAGTGTCGATCTCACTGTACCTCTAGCAGCTAACAATGATCCTTTGGTAAGCCTCCATGTGCCGCTACCAAAATTGTTAGTGTAGCCTGCTAGATCCAATGCATGCACAGAGATCAGATTCAGACGTAAGTCAGGTACATGTCGCACGTCCTTCAGTGTTATTGTGCACCCAATATCAGTTTGAATGCACACATCACCAACTCCCACAATATTTGCAATGCTGTCGTTGCCCATCTTTACTCTACCAAAGTCTCCTTCTTTGTATAGAGAAAAGAATTCCTTGTGAGAGGTTGCATGGTATGATGCTGCTGAGTCAATGACCCATTCAACACATGAATCTGCAACATGGCACTCTTCTTCTTCAACAGAGAGCAACACCACTTCCCCATTGATCACAGGGGTTGCGGTATTTTCATCGTTCTCTGATTTGTTGTTCCTCCGATCTCTGTTCTTCCAGGCTTTGCAGTTTCTTTTGATATGCCCCTCTTCACCGCAGTGATAACATTTGAATTTTCTTCTGGGTTGAGATTGTGATTTATCTCTGGATTTGTTATTCCGGCCTCTGCTTTTACTTCTCCCCCTGGTTTCTGTGACCAGGGCTTGGGAGCTGCTTGCTCCTGAATCTTTTCTTCTTGTTTCTTCATTAAACATACTGTCTTTGACTTGGGTCAAAGTCAGTTTTCCTTCAGGAGCAGAGTTGCTCAACGAGACCACCAGAGTCTCCCAGCTATCCGGTAAAGAACTCAAAAGTAACAGCGCCTGCAGTTCTTCATCAAGTTTCATCTCCATGGTAACAAGCTGGTTTACCATGTCTTGAAACTCATTCAAGTGTTCTGCAACTGATCTTCCATCCCGATATTTTAAATTCACAAGCTTTCTAATAATAAAAGCTTTATTTTGTGCAGTCTTCCTTTGATACATCTGCTCAATTTTGTTCCACAGAGTATGGGCTTTTGACTCTGTGGCAACATGGTGGAATATGCTGATATCCACCCACTGTCTGATTAAACTGACAGCCTTCCTGTGTAACTTTTTCCAATCGTCATCCTTCACGTCATCTGGCTTGTTATCTCCCTTTTCTACAGGATCATACAGATCTTTGTAGAAAAGTATGTCCTCCATTTTTGGCTTCCAAATGGAGTAATTTGTTGCTGTCAGCTTCACCATGGTACCCACGTTCTCCTCCATTTAATTTACACTGGTTGATACAGAGCCCAACTTGAGCTCTGATACCACTTGTTGGGCTCAGATGCGCAAATGCGGAAGGTGTAAATTAAAACACCGGAGTAAAATGGTGAACAATAATCCCAATCCCAGCAACTCAAGAATGACAAAAGAAAATCCCTTGCAATAAAATAGGAATAATTCTTTTCTGATGTGGAAGATCAGATTAAACTGCGACCACAGAGCATACTAAGAATATCCCAAATAAATAAAATATGCAAGAAAAACGACACCAAGATTTAACGTGGAAAAACCTCCAATGTAGAGGAAAAAACCACGGGACAACCTCCGAACAATTCCACTATATTTTCAAGATAATTACAATATCTTTTCACACTCCCTTACACTAGAAATGTAAAATATAGTGACCCAGTGAAACCCCACTCCTATTCAATTATTACAAACAAGGAGTAATAGAGATGATACCCGACCCGGTGTATTTTTCCCACACTCACAGGATTTACTCAAACACTCTATTTTTCTCTCACTGAAAAATACACACTAGAATACTAATCTTTCTTCTTACTGTTTTTCTTTCTCTCGTTGGTGCATTTTTCAGCATTGCAAATGCTGCTATTTATAGCAGAAAGATTGTACAATCTGACAAAAAATTGCAGCTCACAATTATCAGCAATGACAAACTCATTTCATTAAAAAATTCCTAATCAATTTAGTAGTTGTAAGATTCTTTCTTTCACATGGCTGGACCTACAATAAGTCATGCTATTTAACTAAACGAGTTGATTTAACGAGTTCAGCTTAAGCATGACTCCTGACTCAATTGTCAATATTAATTGTCACTATAAGTCATGCTAGTTAAGCATGATTCATGACGACTCAATTCTCAATATTAATTGTCACAATATTAATTGTCACTATAAGTCATGCTAGTTAATTAAACGAGTTGATTGTCAATCTTAACGAGTTCAGCTTAAGCATGACTCAATTGTCAATATTAATGAGTTCAGCTCAACCGTGGATCAAGTGTTGGCTCAATTATGTGTGGCTCACTTGGCTGGCTCAATAAGCTCAAGTGTTGCTTAATCGTGCCTGGCTCAATTGGCTCAATTGTCGTCAAGCTCAAGTGTTGCTCAATTGGCTCAATAAACTCAAGCGTGGCTCAATAGTCAATATTTGCTCAATTGACTCGGGTGTTGCTCAATTGTCATCAAGCTCAAGTGGTGTTCAATTGGCTCAATAAGCTCGAACGGTGTTCAATTGGCTCAATAAGCTCAAACGGGGCTCAATTGTAAATATTTGCTCAATTGGCTCAATAAGCTCACACGCGCTCAATTATCAATAATGAGTTCATCAATACTAACGAGTACCAACTTAAGCGTGGCTCAATTCTTAATATTAATAAGTCGAAGTCGCATCTTAAAAAATCTCGACGCATCTTTAAAAATTACATAAAAAATTATTTTCAAGCCCTATAACGAATCAAGCTCGTGTCCTAAAAAATCTCATCTTAATAAACCTACATAAAAAAAATTATTTTCGAGCTTTGGAANTTGAGCCTCAATATATATATATTTTCAAACCTTAACGAATCAAACTACGAAACCAGCTCAACTTGGATTCGTTCGATAAACGAGGGCTAGCAGCTCTATTCAGAAGTGAACATCGAAATGTGAAATGAGTCTCCCACTAGACAATCGCATAATGCCAGTAACATACCTACTTAAAAGAGTTTAGAACATTCATTCACTAGTTCAATCCAGTAAATAAAGTGAATGAACGAGGGGCAAAATCTGTCCTGGGGCATAAAATGTCCAAAACCATAGCATGTTCATGATTCCTAAGCTTCACTTTTCTTCGAAAATGCAATCACATTGAAGTTGATCGAATCAGGATTTTTCTGGATGATCTTTTGAATGACTTTAGCAGCATCCTGTCACCAAATAATAATAAATAAATAAATTAAAAATCAATGCTTTGACAAACTGACTGATCAAACAAGAGCAAAAACGGGATATGACTTATTCCAAAGTAATGTATCAATTCCATGTAATTTTGTTCCAAAATCATTTTCCATTTCATGTTTCATCTCTGTTGGATGAACAACACGTGTATAACAAATTCATGTTTCAATCTCCATTTGAAATGAATAACATATGTCCATAAGGATATCACTATTATACATGTGTCATTCGTAGAGACTCAAGAGAAAAATAATCACCTGTAATAATGTGCCTGGAGTAGATGCACCATGAGAGATTGGTCCAGCCCTCCTTCCATCGAGCTCATACAGTTGCTCTGCAAAATCCCATGCCAAGGGCATTATATATTACACTGCTATAATCTGCTCTTCTAGTGATATGAACTAAATGCGGTAGATGAAAACAAAAAATAACAACCCTATTTATCTCTAAGTAAATATGATGCACTGGTATGGTAATACGAATCCCATATATCGTTAACCGCATTCTAATTGAAGAAATGGAAATTTTGTTTTGAATTTCAAATCCATGAGAGAGAGGAGACAGAGGGCTCACCATTAATACATGTAAAGCAGATGAAATGAGTGTTTACATCATCTGATGCCTGTCAAACACAAGGGATCACAAAAATTAGCTACTTCAGAACAGTAAAAATATAGTAAGAAGAATAACACCCGTTACAATTATAGGCTACAATGATGCAGCAGTTTACATCATATATGTCAAACTCAACTTCTACAAACTTCAACAGTGCTGAACTGATCGCAAACAAAGAAAATGATGAGTTACTAAATTAAGCTGAAAATGTCTTGAGTGGAAAATCTAACTATTTTCAGACTACTCTCAAATTGAATGTGTGTACATATATATATAAATATATATATTGAAATGTCCAAATCTGACCTCTGTATCACCAGCCGTAGCTGCAACTGAGTGAGCAACTTCCATTTCTCTATCATTTTCGAGAAATGCAGCACGCTGCAAAATAATTCCATCTAGAAATTGTTACATTGAAACAAGGGCAAAGATACAGATATCAAGGTCACCAATACTTAATTTGAATAAATAAGTAAAACGGTGAAAAAAATATCAAACCTCTGATGGATTCATATTTGCAGTGGATTTGAAAAAGTTGTCCAAATAAGAACCCTCAACTGAAAGAAAACAAAAATTGAGAAAAATTATACAACCCGAACATCATACTTCAAATATACATTGAATAAACTGAGAACATGCAGGAACAAGAAGATGAATCATGATTTTTCAGAAGGAAACTATGTATCCTTTCAACCTTAATAGTGATTGGATTATTAGCTGGATTTTTTCGACATTATCCCTCAATACTATAGTATATATATAGTGTGAACTTTCCTTTATTACATTGTCTAGTTCAATCAAAAAACCAGAACTTTCCTTTATTACATTGCCTAGTTCAAACAAAAAACCAACTAATAAACAAAATGCAACCACAAACAAGTGAAGGGATTGCAATTTTTCCTCGAAGATATTATCCATCTCTTATACCGCAATTGGAGCTGGATTTGTCAGCATAATTTGCCTTCAAAGTTGTAAACAGAAATTTCATTATCATATCCTCTAGTTGATCCAAAATATCAATTGATAAACTTGAAGAATAAAGGACTATGTGAATGACATATACATCATAATTTCTTCAAGCGACAAACATTTTTTCATACCTTGACATGGGTAAAAATTGTCAGCGAATTTTCAATCTTATGTAACGTAAGTAGTGATGAGTATATTCCATTATCACATTTTCCAGATCAAGTATAAATTCTAATTAGTGATTGATGGTTTGGATGCATGGAGGAATAAGAGAGTGAAAAGACAATATGCATTCCCCTAGAAGAAATTATGCATTCAATCTCCTAGAAGACAATATGCATTCAATCTCCCCAAAAAGGGTTGAAATGTCAGCAAAACTAACATCATTTCCCCCTAGGCACAACATTATGAAAAATGAACAAGAACTTCTCTGTACTTTCTCTAGTTCAATCCTAAGTAATAAATTATATTCCCACAAAGTGCACTTATAGAATTAATGAAAAATGAAAAAAAAAAACGATAAACATGAAAATGAAGCAGAAGAGTTTAAAAAAACACAGGTTAAGAGTTCCCAAATTCATCCATAACACAAGAATTCTCGCCCATTATAGAGACATTAAAATGTAACTAGCAAATGATAAGTCAAAAGAACTGAAATCATAATTATCAAAAAGGAAACAAAATCTAAGTTTACCGAGTTTAATCCTGGAAGTGATATTTCCAACAGCATGAAGAAGACCGATTGTTCCACAGGCATTTCCAACAGTTTGCTTCATAAAATAAACCTCACTGCTTGGCTCCTGTATGCAAAAATCATGAATTGCATCAATCATAAATTCATATTGAAGACAGAAGTAAAATCGCTACTCAACAACTAACGAAGTGTGAAGACATTTTATCTGATATTCTTTAAGCTTTAGTTGGATATTCGCACTCTTGAGGCAAACTGAAAAGAACAGCAAAACCAATCTAATAGCCGACATGAATAACGTGCCCAAACAAAAAAATTATAGATATCCAACTGCTAGCACATGATAATTATAGGTGACAATGCTGAACATTACAGTTGTCAGTACTAAACACACACGTAGATAAAAACTGTAGGAATCGTAACCATAAAACAACATGGATAGAACATGGATAAAATTAAGGAACAGGTAGCGCAAGCATCAGATCACGTGANGATCATGGACTCAATAGATACAGCCCCCCTCCAACAATCATTTAGTACAGATCAAAAAGCCAGAGCCGCTTTAAGACATTAAAAGTATCATGTCTCAGGGTTTTTGCTACAGTGTTGAGTGTCTCTAGATTGCAACTTGATTATGAGAGCTCAACAACACGGAAGCTTCCTATCAAATCACAAGCAACAAAATTCAAAACACGAAACGGACAACCCCCTCCCCCCTCCCAATGCTATCATACCAAATACAGCACAAGAAAAAGAAAAACATAGTTGATGCGAAACTCATTTTAAACTCCTGCAAACTGCAAACAATTTAGTCAATTTCATAACAAAAGCTTAAAGTTCCAAATGATGAAACCGTACAGGAGACTGCATCAACTTGACTGAAATCAAAACATGTCAGATCCTAATACTCCCATAAAGTTTACCAATCATGAGAATCTGAAATAACCAGAAAGAGGGAAGTGCAGATTGTCTCGTCTATTAAGATATAATTTACCTTTATTGCACTATCTTGTTGGACTCTCTCTTCTTCACTCTGTGAAAGCAAAAATTGTCACATAAACGAGGGGCTCAAAACAAAGCAAAACCATCATGGAAACTCAACATTGGCTTTTACAAGAAAACAATCCAACTTGAACAAAGATCATAAGCTGGAATGATATCTCATGAGTAGATATAGTCCAATACTCAAAAACATCACCACATGGTTCTCACTCAAAAATGTATGAGTGAGAACTAACGATTGCAAATCCATAGCAAGGTTTTGTAGGAAATTTTTTCCAGTAATCCACGGCTGTGTCATCAGAATGAGTGATTTCAAAAACAAAACAAATGCCCGCAGACAAAGTTTCAACAGATAAACTACCTGTGGAGTCAAGGGATACAGAAACAGCACTGCAAGCACTGGCTTCGGAACCATTTCCAATAGTTCATCATCAAACCCATAAACATCATAGCATTCTGCCTCATCCGGTGCAACACCAAGTCCCCAAATAAACTGCCCATCACAAGTTAATGATCTTAAAATAAACAACTAAGAAAACCCCACTTTTTTCCTTCTTCTATTTTCCCGTCAGCTTTCATAAAAGTTTGTTCGTTCTTGTGGTATTCAATACAAAAACTAAATCCTTCAGCAGTTCAATTTTGATGAATAATACAATCAAAATGTGTAAAGAAAACTTGCAAAACATCTCAAAAGCCAAAATAAATACGGACAAGAAAGTAAATGGTTCAAACAGAAGCAAAAGATTATCAGGACATAAGCAATTGATTGGACGCGAAAAAACAACAGGAAGCACCTGGTTCATAACATCGGGGTTAGCTTCGAGAGGAAGCCATTTCTTGCGAGAAGGGCTGCTCGCCATTTCTCGTCTCTTTTAGGTTTTGATGCGGTTTTTTTCTTCCTCGGGTTGTTTCGGGAGAGTTCTTCTATATGACGTTCCTTCCTTTCAAAAACTATATGGAGCCGGTTTTCATAAGCCATCCACCGCCTGTCCAAATCCCCTTGTTTGGCTATGCGGGTAGTGGATTATATCAGTGAATAGCGGATAACAGATTACAGATTATATCAGCTGATCAACAGATTGCATTAATAGTTTTTAATAAGTATTTGGTAAATAGCGGAAAGCTTATAGCTGTTTTATATTGCAAAATGACCAATAAAAACATTTTATTATTTAAGGTATATTCTTTTAATAATAATATATTAAAACATTAATATTCTTTACTTGGTATTTATAAATATATATTGTTTTTAAATTTATTAACACTTAATGAAGAAGTTATGAATTTTATATTTTTCTAAATAAATTAATTATATGTATGACATATTATTATTTATTAGCACCATAAACCAATGTAGATTGTAAAATAAATAAGACAAATTAAATAATGAGTTTTTTTGTGAATCCTCTATCCCAAAACGCTGCTCTAATGAGCTTTTTCTAAATTAGAGTTTTGAGCCCAAAAAGCTTATCAAATAAGCTATTTAACAAACAAGCTCAATAGCGGATTTGACGGGTCAAACCTCTCAATTAAATCCAATGCGCTAATTTATCTTCAATCTGCTATCTACCAAACGGAGCCTATATATTAATCAAAACGAGCCTAAGTGGCAGAGTGGCATGTTTCGAGATCATGAGGCAAAATTATATGCTTCGTTATTAGGCTTGGATAGATTTTAATTTACTTTGAATCCAAAAATAATTAGATTCGGATTATCCATAAATATGTTGATTATTTATGGCACGTGATATGTATTAATTGTATTTTAATATCATTTCTTATTATAACTATTGAATTGTAAATGTATTTTAAAAATTAATAAGTTTTGTATTTTTTAGCAATTTTACATATATAATATACCAAAATGAACTTCGATTTAACATCCATATTGTTGTATAAAAAAATAAACATACTTATCTTTATATCAATATTAAAATTATTTTTTAATATTAATTAGAAAAATAAATCTATTTATTAATTAATATATTTATATTTCAAGTAGTTATATGATATAAGTTATAAAAATTATACTATAATATAATACATGTAAGTCGCACAAGTAACAAGTGTCATTTTAAAGTATATAATAAATATATATTTTTTGTAAAAAAACAAATAAAATTTAAAATATTTTTTCTCATTAATTTTAAAATTTAAGAAAAAAATTTTAACAAGCAGCCGTGTAATACACGGGTGTTGTACTAATTGTATTTATTGCAGGATACGTGTCAATACACTATTGGTGACTAAGTGTGGATGGCTCCATATGTCGAGCCATCCGATGAGTCCATAGCAAAACCGTCCTTCCTTTTAGGCCAAAGTTAAAATTTTGCTGTCATATTGAAATCTACGTATATCTATAATTTAATTTGGGGCAATCTTTAAAATAAAAATCTTAAAGTTTTTTATACTATTTAACATGCATATAACTATTCTTATTTCGTTATTTACTAATTAATAATAATGAATTACATAACATAGTATCAATATATTTTTAAAATTATCTTCTACTTTTAGTAGAAAAATTTTGTGTGAGTACTTTCAATAACATAAAGATCTCTGATTTTTTTTTTTTTTTGTANCTAACAATTTAAATATGATTTTCTATAAAGACAATCATATTATGTTTCATCTAACTCGTACTTGTACTCAGAACAATACACTAATATTGCAAAAAAATTGGAACATGGGTTTTGATATAGGATATCGGACCCTGAGAGAATAATCTCAATAAACCGATCGATCAAGCTAAGGGAGCCGGTTGGTCGAGCATAACAATAGGGAGGTAGTCAATGTTCGAACGCCACTAACACCATAACAGAGGTCTCCAGATTGAGGACAACACCAGAGGTACAAGAAGACAACGACAGGTCGAGTTAGGGCCCTCGAATGGCCTAGGAAAACTCGACCAGAACAGACAACATGGACTCAAGGCAGCCAACATTCTACCTCAGCAAAATGAGAGTCGATCACATCAGGAGGTGGCATGAGAGGTTAAAGGATAAGAAGGAATTTTATGGTAATTAACGTTGCACATGGGCTAGGCTACGTGGAACTGTCTGGTTGGTTCACGCCTCATAACCGTTTTGTGCAGCCTGGGCTGTACTATCGGGCAACTCAGGCAGTTTGGACAGCTCATTCGGACAGTCTTGGGCAATAAGGTATTATCTCTATATATAAGAGAGTGAATATTACATTACATTCTCTATTATTCCACACCGTATTTTCTGCACTTACAAATATACATTTAAGCATAAAAGGCTCCTCACTAAAAATCTTTTACAGTGTGAGAGTTTTTAGCGCCTGTGAAGAATCTCAAGCTCAGGCTTATTTGTTGGAGATCTTTTGCGTACAAGTTTTTACTTGCAACATTTTTTGTTGAAAACTGAAATACTAACATGTTTTTTGTTGTCCCTTAACAAAATTAACATGATTTTTTTTTTTTCATCGGCAACAAAATTAACATGATTTAATTGTAATAGTAAATGTTATCAAATCCGCTTGGAGAATTACTCCTCGTTTTAGACCACGGAGTCATCGATCTAATCATCAGATTATTGAGACAACAGTGAAATCAAATAATTAATTTTCAAAATATAAAAATTATGCACATAATTTTCTTTTCTTATAAACATACATAAAGATATATTAAAATTTGATTGATAAATAATTTACTGAGATGAATTAATCTAATAAATAATTTATAAGTAACCTTTATACCTCAAAATCTCAAGAACATTATATGAAAAATGTTCGAGTTCACAAGGTTAAAAAGCGAAAATGCATCCATGAAAGAATGAATCAACATCCACTGAATCTTCATATGTTAAAACCAGACTTAACTGAAGAGGCCAATCAAGCATATATTAAAAACTTATCAACCAAACTCAAACTCTTAACAAGTTAAAGTAAAGAATGAGTACCTATCAAACAAACAATGTTTCTAGCAGCAAGTGTACAGTCTCGAAATATTACATTATACTCGATGAACCCATTGCTCCAGCCGAAGCTGCTTTCGAGGTGGACCATTGTCTGGTTTATTCTTCTGAGGGCAACACCATTTTCCAGTACTTTCAACTACTACAGGAGAGAGAAAGTTAGTTGTTTCAGACAAAACTTTCCTACATGTGTTTGCATTCTTCTGACATCTCATCACAGGTTTTACTTCATGTCCTGAGGACTCAAACTGAAAACGTGCAGGCTTAGTTAAGTTGCCAGCATTTTCTTTGCTTCCTTTCCTTACAGAAACGAAACCATTTTCGAATAGTTCGGTCTTCTTGTTCTCCTTTCCAGTGCTTCTCATGTTAGCACGATTTCTGGAGGAATCTTCTTTAGACACTGGTGAACCTAAAATACCAGGTGAAGCAATTTCTTTTATATCTTCCTCTTCTAAGCTATCTTTAGTGCAATCTTTACTTCCTGCCAACTTTGGAATATAATTGTTTTCTTTAGGAGCAGTTCTTTCAAACAAACTGGAATCTAACTTCATGTCGTTATCTTCGCCATTGGTATTTGTGTCTCCAAACTTTTGACTGGAACCAAGATCACAGTTCGCTGTTCTCTTTTCAGGCAAGATTTGCTGGGAAATATTTCTGTGAGTCGACCGACTAGACATTGGCGTAAGAGAACCATTATGAACATCCTGCAAATCGTGAACAATAATAATTGGCTTTAGAAAAGCTAGGAATGCTTCCTGCAACTCTTTAACGATAATAACTGGCATTAGACAAGCTAGGAACGCTGCTATGAGTTCACGTAAAAAAATCAAATAAAATGCAAAATTAATAAAAGTTTCTTTTAAAAAAAAATGAAACCATTTGAAAATTGAAATAATAAACTATGCACAAGACTTCTAAAAGACAAAAAATTAAACCGTTCTGAAGTGCATATTTTTCTGATTTGAGGAGTGTACCATTTTCCATAGCTCTGTATTAACGTAAGGTATTTTTTTCTTTCCATTTTGCTATTACTTGGCTACAGTATTCCTCCTTCTTTGTCTTTATTTGCCAACATTGACATTCATAATTAAGGAGTTCAATGGAATGATTGTTTAGGTTTGATGTTTTTTTGGGTTTCCTATGTCAGCTTTTTATGAAATAACCAAGCACAACTAAATTGCACTTACAGGTTTAGTTCAACAGATCCCAGACTTTGGGGTCTAGCATTTTTAACTCACTCGTTTCTCAACATATTGAGCTGAAATTGGACAAGTATATTCTCAACATATAGGTAGACATGTCATAAAAATTTCACCTTAATATCCTGCACGTAAGTTGAGATAATTGAGTTCAAAGAACGCAGCTCAAACTTAGCATTAAAACTCGATTTGCATGCTTAACTTTAAAAACATATAACTCGAGCTATACTTGACCAAATGACATGATTCTTTCTCCTATATACTCAACTCGTGCTTTTAATGTGAAAAATTTATGAGTATGTCTTGCATGAGTGGTGATCAAGGTGACCAAGTTTCAGCTTCATATGTTAAATGTGGATTTTCTGTAACAGCCCAACTCACCCGCTGTAGAATATTGTCTGCTTTGGGTACTCTCACCCTCACGGTTTTGCCTTTGGGAGCTAGCTCACCAAACGCGTCCTACAAGTTAAGGTATCCACACCCACTTATAAGGCATGCTTCGTTCTCCTTAACAACCGATGTTATTCTTGTATTATATTTGTTGTCGGTATTTATAATAAATTTTTAGTTATATCTCATTTAGACAATAGAGACTTCTTATGCCCTTCTACATTTTTTATTCGACTATGTTCCATCTAGCATTACATAAATCCAGCCATACCCGCCTAGGCACCAGGACCCCAATCTACTACCTAAAGAGTGTCTAGCTATATTCACAATTTTGATACTAAACCACCACTTTTATTTATTTTAAAATTTGAGCCTGAGAAAATAGATGGTACCATTATCCAAATCTCAACTTAGAGCAAATACAACCATATATAAACGTGGTCATGCAAAAGAAGATAATAGTTGATATCACTCACAGCTGTGCCAAGTGGTTTATAGTCCACTTTGCTATCTTCGACCAAATTGGTGCATTTGACAACCACACATGAGGTTCTACTTTGATTGGGCAGCTCTATACTTCCTTTAACATCAAAGTCCATAACACCACAGTTCTCATTTTTGTGGTTCTTTTGAGCATTATATAATTCACAATCTTCCTTCACTCTATACTCAGATACTGTAAAATCACGAGTTGTGTCCAGCGGTGACGACTCATAGAAATAGCTTGAGAACCAGTTCTTAATGTCAGGAGGCTCTGCAGGTACAAATAAAGAAGATACGACTTTTTAGAAGTTGTTAGGCAACTTAGGTTAAATTTGGAATGACTTGCAAAATGGAAATTCTTGTGATTCTTAAAAAGGATAGTTTAACCAACCCTTTACTGATATACAACCATATTAAAAACTTCAAAGGACCCATTGTCTTGCATACCTGAAGAAAACGATAGCGATTCTGATGATCCTGCAACCTACAACAAAATTTATTCGCTACAATGAGTTATATATGGAATGATTAGCATTTGATTTAATGTCAATTGCTTTGAGTTATGTCAATTGTATCACATATATGGTGATTTAACTTCTAGGTGCACGCCTGGCAAGCATAGACAATTGAAGACAGACTTCCAACATATCCACCTAAATGCTATTACAAAAATAGGATATATTTGATTATTAGACCAACAAGCTTTAGCATTTTTCTTGTATTATCGATATTTTCCGCCTGTCAAAAGATCAGGTTTACTGGGAAAGGTCAAGAGCTTTGGTTCCTATTATTGAAGGAATGCCATGACCAGTCTCCATGTCACTGTTGTGCAAATCATTTTATACGTTCTGTGTCAGCCCACCATATGAGAAGAGCCAACATAACAAAATCAGATGTTAAATATGGCACATTAGAATAACCCTAGTGCAGGACCTCCTCAAACACAAGTACTAGAGTGATTTTTTTAAAATGATCAAATAGTCAAAATCGGCAACAACTATTGGCTAGCATGAATCAATCAAATTTCAGCATCTCTGTGCATTTTCAGTTTTATGACAACACTCGAAATAAAGCTGTACGATTACCGTTGCAGCTAATTTGACGTGTTCGAGTTCATCCGATTTTCCACAGTCGATAGCTTTACCCAACAGTTTCCTGCCTGCAGAAACCGAGCCATCAATTGATTCAACCGCCACTGGAATTTCTCCGGATTTCCCCTTCTTTCCTTCCTCGAGGCAAGTTTCTCTAGGCCCATGAAAATCTTGCAACCCATCCAATGTATTCAGCTCGGGGGATTCATATACGTAGCTCGAAAACCAGTTTCCAATATCTGGAGGTTCTGCAAACGAAGGAAACCAAAAAGGCAAATACAA